ATAGAAAATAAATGAATATATTGTTCAATAGATAAAGGGAATGTCTACTCAAATAAGGGTATCTACTAAAAATAACGTTTAAAGTGTTTTATATATATATATATATATATATATATATATATATATATATAGATAGATAGATAGATAGATAGATAGATAAATACATATGTATATATTTGTAAAGAATTTATGCTTTTATTTTTAATCCGATATTTTTATTATTTCAAACGATATTTTAGTGGAAACTTCATAGTTAAAATAGACGCCTCACTTTTATTTATTAAAAAGTGTGTATTAACGTCTTGAAACACGACTGCAATTATGTAGCGATTTTTACATGTTATCGGTGTAATATATATATATATATATATATATATATATATATATATATATATATATATATGCTAGATGGTGTCTGATATGAAATTGAATATCATCATGCTAGATGCAATCGTCAGGTGGCTTCACGATTGCTTCTAGCATGAAACAGACTGTCGCCTCTAAGTCGACTTCTATGTTCACTTTTTATATTTACACACGTTCTATCTCTGATATTGAGCACTTTATCCATAAATTAAATTAATGCACATTATCCCATAAATATAGCACATCTTAAGATATATATATATATATATATATATATATATATATATATATATATATATAGGTATTCGGTTGTCTACTCGCACTGAGGAGCTGTGATATAGCGAAACAGTACTGTCTGCGAATGACATAATATATATATTCCTCGAATGTAAATAGGTGAAATATTTTTCCCTCGTGAAGAAAGTTAGTGACCCACATCTACTTTGATGCAATTTCATATCAGACACCATTTTGCCAGTGTACTGTCTTTAATAAAATCACTCGTCTTTCCTGTAACAGAAAATTCATTCTATACGTTGTATTTTGTACGCGAATGTTTTTTTTTTTTTGTTTTCAATCATTTCACATCAAGCAAAGTGGAAATGGTATTAAACTGCAAGGGAGTACGAGTGGGGGTCAAAGAGAATGAGAAGAATCTAGTAAGAATCTAGTAAGAAGAAAGGAACAGAGAAAATAGCGATTGACATTGCATTTAAAACTTTAAAGATTGCAGTTGGCAAGAAAGCAAGAAACCGGACGAAATTTACACAGACAAGTATAGTACCTAGAAGATTAGAACTTAGAGCTATTTCAACAGTAAAACAATAAAACCTTGTCGCCAATCTTGTGGAACGCTTGAATTCACGCGGTACCATGACGGGGAACCTATTAGAACAGCTACCATCAAAATATTTATTTAAAAAAATGACAGAAGGAAGTCACGTCAATGCGGTGGGAAAGTGACTGAAGTCGATATGCCTGGTCTGGACTACTGACATCATAGACTTTTCTTTGGATCCTAATCAAACCGAGTTATTTCACAGAATCTCTTAAAACATATACATTGCGACTTATCTTTACGTATCTGGAACATTTGCCGTAAACATTTTCGCCGTAGGAAAATTCACTATATAGGATTTTTGCCATAAGGCAATTTCGCCCCATTTTTTTTTTTTCGTTAACCTTATCTTGAACGTCCCTTTTGGAGTAATGTTCAATTTAATAAGCGAAGTACCTTGTTATCAAGTATATATGGATGTCTTTTTTACAAGGTCAAGCATCAGAAAAGAAATTAAAAAAAACATTTATTTAAAAAATAAAAGACTAAAAATATATCAAATTAACAAAGAAATAATTTAAAATGTGTGAAAATTCCAAACAATGCTTCGTAAATAATGTGTATTTTGTGTTGGACTGCAATGAAGCATTTTCCACTGAAGTCTGGTATTGATATCAATCTATATTTTCTTCATTTGTATTGCAGCTCCTTGATCTAAATCACACTTTTTCTTTTTTGCTAATGTCTCTTCCTGTTTCAAATGTGCACTTTGGTTTCCACAAGTATAATTATTAAAATATTTAAATCAAAGTAACAATAGTGTAAGTCAGATATACTTGATAACAATGTACTTCGCATATTAAAAAAATGCGGCAAAATTACGGCAAAAGTGTTTACGGCGAATGTTCCTAGAACGTTCTCTTTCGCCTATATATTGATCGGTTGATATGCATCTTGCAACTTTGGTTTGCATGTTAAACACTATATATACAGGGTGTCTTATGATGGGACAGCAAATATCTTGAATTATAAAAATGACACTTTACATTATCCAGACTATTGTCCTAATCTTTGTTGCCATATTTATCACAACGTTTCGGCCGTTGTACACTCCGGCCTTCTTCAGGTGGTTGGAATGTCGAACTGAACCCTTTATTTCGCTCGCTGGGGTAGACTTTTCTAGTTCCACGTGCCATGTCTAATGGATGTCAGTTATCAGTTATCTCCTGTTAATTCACCTCTCCAATTTCTCCATAGAAGGCAGTGGACACTAGTCCGAATAATATAAATAGTGTACATAACACTTCATCCCAGAAATATAGACAGATATAAAAGTGACATAGAGTACAATGTATATTTATTATATAACTGATATACAAGGCTTCAATATTTTTCAAGATTTTGCTATTTCCTAACGGTGTCTAATATTTCATTTGCTAACGGTAGACCCTCATAATGTCTGTGTTTGAAATGAGAGCGCAAACTTGTGCATGTTCTCTTCCTGGTGGTGACCATCTCAGGGATGTAATATTCAAATCTTAGATAATATGTTGAACACTTGCATATCATCAGTCTATATTTCTGAGATGACTTATTATAGCTATTTACACTATTTATATTGTTCGAACTCTTGTCCCCATCATTATTGTCACACTCACAACGTTTCGGCCGTTGTAATCGCCGGCCTTCTTCAGGTAATATTTTATTTTTAAATTTCGAACCGAACCCGGAATAGTCAATCTGTATGTTGGCCTTTTTTAAGATTGGTTTGATGATGACGTTTGTGTAGACATTGTTACTTGTTTATATATGTTTGTATATAAGTTAATTAATAAATATATTAGTACTCTATGTCATTTTGATGAAACAAAATAAATATACTTGCATTCAAAATGTGTCCCATCTTATGGGATACCATATATATATATATATATATATATATATATATATATATATATATATATATATATAGTAATTTTTTTTTTTTTTTTTATCTGATCTTATTCCTCACTAGCAGTAGAGCCCGGCGCTGCCTGGGGATGTAACAGTAAGAGATAGATCAAGTATCGACCATCATAAAGAGTGAAAAATAAAATTGACAAAGATTATTGTTTAAGGTTGACGGACACGCATGTCTTAATTTTTTTGTTGTTTTTTTTTACGAATTGGTTAAACCCAAACTCAAACAAAAACATTGTTTTCAATCGTTATGAGTCTACTGATTGTCTTGTAAATGGAATTTTTAAAGCATTCTGAATGTAAAAATAAAGAAAAAAGTGTGCAAGACAATAAGAAACACTACCTACCAAAAAAAAGTTAAGTTTTGTTGAAATCGGTTGAAAAATGTAGGAAATCTGATCACATATTTAAACGAACACACACACACACACACACACACACACACACACACACACACACACACACACACACACACACAAACAACCAACCTGGGTTTTATAATAAGTATAACTCGATAGCTCGATATAAATAAGTATAACTCAATATGAGTTGTCCCCCTTTCATTAATGCCTCTTAATCGTGTTTTCAAATTGATTTCATGCAAAAACAATTGTTTTTTCAATTTTTGGCGCTCTCCGAACCACCGCAAGGTAATTTTACGTAGTCCTGTGAAGTTTTGTTGAAATCGGTTGAAAAATGTAGGAAATCCGATCCAATATATAAACACACACACACACACACACACACACACACACACACACACACACACACACACACACACACACAATCTGCGTTTTATAATAAGTAAGATTAATAAAAACCGGCCTATATCGTAAAATCCATCGTAGGCGATTTCGATCTGAAACAGCATCTTAAATATATATATCTCACTAGTTTATAATAATGAAAAAATATACAATATGTATATACATAATAGGAGTCTTTACTGTCGTATTCAACGTATGAGGGCCCAACAATTCAGCCTTTAGAACTGAACGGCCGAATTAACTGCACATATCCTTTGATTATAGTGGTGAAAGCATGCGCAGAACCACCCACACATTTGGTAAGAACAGATGCAGACTCGGGTTTTGAATTCATTGTTGTCCTTCGCCTAGACATCTTGACAACCAAAGCTAAAGAACTCAGTCTGTTCTACTATTTAACCAATATCTAGGGGGCGGGTAAGAGATGGGTTATACCTTTCCCACGTGTATTTGCACGTAAGTGAATGTAACGGGCTCGACTGGATTTCTACCTCATTTCTCCGATTGCTAATTTCCGGACAGCTTCCCAGCACACCACCCGCACATCCATGTGCATGTATGTAAATATGTAAAGAAGTAATGGAATCTATGCTGATATGTTTTAAATATGGACGTAGAAATCTATTTTAAATGCTAGGAATAAAGTGTCACTGCCGACACTTGAGTTTGAACATAGATCGCCAATAAGCAAATATAGGCGATCCCATTAAAGTGGATCACGTGACCATAGAGGAAACGCATAAGTAGAAAGTATCATGACGATTAACGATCTCCATTTCTAGTCTATCCTCTATACTATACAGATCTCTATTTCTATTCTATCCTCTATTACTATTCTTTACTCTGTTCACTATACTATTTCTCTATTCGGATCACTATACGGATTACTATTAGAGAGAGTATTATCGAGCAAGTACTATTAGTGCGAGTGATATTCGAAGACGTTCTGACACTAGTATTGTTCAACAGCGGAGTATAGTTGTATCTGCAATTAAAAAGTCTCTACTACAACGAGCATTACAAAAGTGACGAGTATTCGTTGTCACCACAAAAGTGACAACGACTGTTCGTTGGCATTACAAAAGTGGCAACGAGTGTTCCTTTGAGTTACTAAACTAACTTACCTAATACTAAAGGTTTGGATAGATGAGATAATTGTAAAGATGCCCTAATGGTTGTTCTCTATAAACGGAAGGACAATTGCGGGCATTACATACGCAAAGATGGCTATGGGACTTACTGTGAGATATCGTTTCCCTTTGTTGTTGGCAAGGTGTTACCTTGGAGGCTGCTGGGCAATCTTCTCCAAACCATCGCTGATGAAGTCTTTTCTGAATCACAGTATGATTTCAGACATGGCATATACTTATGCGGCATATCTTTAACAACTACTGCAAATGACTTCCAAAGTCACCGCATCTGCACAAAACAATGTAAGCAGTATTAAAAAAAAAAAGCCATATCCACGCTGCCGATATTCGAGGATAGTCCAATCGATGACGCTGTTCTAAAGCGAGTCGAATCCATGATCATGTAACGAAGTAGAAGTGTCGGCAAAATGATAACACATGCCGATCAATGGATAACACTAGATTTGAATCTTCCACGTTTTACCATTACGTTTTATTCAGCTGGCTTCGGCAAATTAAATCGTTCAATTTGTGCATGAGCAACCCCGAGCCCGAAACTGAAGAAAAAGCTTAAATTCTCACTTTGAAGCTCCTCTCTGTATAACCGTCTCTCTCATTTTTCTTCATACCACGCTTTCGAAACTGGATTCTGCTCCTAAGTCAAATATTTCTGCATTCGGCGGTCGTAATTAATATCAGGTTAATCCGTTTGGCCACTTGTCTTTGACTGACCACTGTGAGGTTGAATGCAATATCTAATCTGGTGTCATATATATATATATATATATATATATATATATATACTGAGAGAGAGAGAGAGAGAGAGAGAGAGAGAGAGAGAGAAAATGGTGAGAAGGGAGAGTGCTGAAAATACTCTGTCCGATTACGTAGTCTATCAAAGCATTTATAACATATATAAGGGGGAGAGAGAGAGATAACTGAGTACTAAAAACGTACGTAGCCTAACAAAAATTTTATTGTTTGTTTTATATATGAAAAAGTGGGGGATATGTGGAGAGGTTGTCTTAAAGCATCGATTGGAAATATCTATACAACCTACAGAGATGAAAAACGAAAATAAGTCTTGTGTTAAATAAAGGAGATGAGGTGAGTTAGTAATTAGATTGAAATTAGATTAAGTGACATAAGGTGAGTTAGTAATTAGATTGAAATTATAGTTTGAGAGAATAAGAGAGAGAGAGAACAACAAGCAATGCACAATACAATGTGAAGATATTAATGAATGATAAAGATAGTTAAAGGCGAGAGAGGTGAGGAGAAGTTATTTGAAGTAGTGGTAACAACGAGAGTATAGGGAAAACAAGTCGTAGTGAGAATGCGATAGTAGTGAGAAAGATACTGGCAATTTGAGTAGAAAGTAATGAGAGTGGTGAGAAAGAAAGAGTAGTGAGGAGTAGCAGATGGGAGAAAGAGAGACCAGTGGAAAGAAAAATAAAGATGAAGGGATTGGTGAGAAGGAGAGAGTGATGAGTAGTAGTGGCGTGGAAGAGAGTATGTGAGATGTAAAATTGCTGTGTAGCGAAGTATAAAGAGTAGGCGTTAAGTGTTCAGAAAGACAGTATGGGGAGACAAAATGGTGAAAAGGAAAGAGTGTGAAAAGGAGAGAGTGGTGAAAAGGAGAACTGGTTAGAGGTGGAAAGCAGTTTAGAGTGTGTAATGCCGAGAAGTGGGGAGTTGGTTAAAGAAGTGGGGGGTTAAAGACAAGTAGTGAGAATGGGTAGTGAAAACGACGAGTGGTAAAAAGCGAGATTGTGAGAAGTATTGCAGGGGAGAAGTGGTAAGAAGGATAGAAGGCAGAGAGGAAAATGGAAAAAGGGGAAAAGAGATAATCGGCTGGAAATCGAATGGGAGAAATAATAAATAAAAAAAAATGTTGAGGCATTAAAGGTAATGGGAAGAGCAAGGCGAAGAGAGTAAGGAGCTTCCGATGAAAGAGTAAAGAGGATGGGAGAGCAGTAGCGTTGGAGTTTGGAAATTTGGGGGTTGGGAAGAGAAACCTGATGGCTGTCATCGGTAATCGATGCTCTTTGGTCTATATCCATCTGGATGCTTCCGGTTGCTTCCGGAAGTGGCTGCTGGAACAATAGCATATCCCGGGCTACCGAGACCTGCCCACGGACATTGAGCGCCCCGCAAATGGCCGTCTCCTCGTGCACTTTTGCTCGCTTAAGCAAATCTCAGCACCCTCACTCACATGACACACCTAAACATTCGATACAACGTACTCTTTCTTTCTTCTCTGTCACTTTCTGGATCACTTTCATTCGGTTACTCTTTCATTTTATTTGGCTGGACATTGTATAAACTTCTGTAGAGGAACTGTCTTTTTGCCTTTTCTTTAAAATTCTTTCTTTCTTTCTTCTCTTTCTTTCTTTCTTTCTTTCTTTCTTTCTTTCTTTCTTTCTTTCTCTGCTTCCAGACAACATTTCTTTCTTTACTCGTGGATCTCTCAAAAAGTAAACTGATTTCTTTCTTTTTTTTTTCTACTTTCTGTCATATATTATTTTCTTTCGTTTTTTATTTTGTTTATATAACATTTCTTTCTTTTTCTAAAAAGGTTTTACTGGACAAAAGAAAGAAAGAAAGAAAGAAAGAAAGAAAGAAAGGCATGTCTTTTTTCTTTTCACCGGTAAATTTTTTTCTTTCTTTCTGTTATGCTTTTTAAATTTCTTTCTTTTGGATTTTTCAAAACTTCTTTTTCTTTCATTCTCTCATCGTGTATCCATTTTCTCGCCTTCATCTGTTATTGTGTTTCCTTTTAAATTTACTCTCTCTCTCTCTTATTTACTTTTAGATACTTTCTTTGTTTCTTTTTTCTTTCCCCTATTATGTGAGTCATTCGTTCTTTGTATAAAACTAACTTTCTTTCTTTCTTTCTTTCTTTCTTTCTTTCTTTCTTTCTTTCTTTCTTTCTTTTGACTTGTAAAGCCTTTTCTTTCTTCCTGTGCATCATACATTTTCTATCTTTTAATAAACTTTCTTTCTTTTGGGTATTTCTTTCTTTTTCTTTTTTCAAAACTTGTTTTTTTTTCTATCAATCTCTCATCTAGTATCCACCTTCTCTACGCACCTTCTGCTTGTCACTTTGCTTCTCCCATCTCTTCTCCACTTCCTTTCTTTCTTTCTTTATTTCTTTTCTTTCTTTCCTTCCTTCCTTCCTTCCTTCCTTCCTTCCTTCCTTCCTTCCTTCCTTCCTTTCTTTCTTTCTTTCTTTCTAATATCTTTGTTTCTGCTATCATTAATTTTAATTTCTATCATTCGTTTTTTTTTCAAATCTTCTGTTTTTTTTGCTATTTACTTTTTCGTATATTTTTCCTTCTTTCTTTTTCTATCTACCGTTATGTGGTCGTTCTTTCTTTGTCTAAATCTTTTCTTTTTCTTTTCTTTCTCTTTTAATTCTTCTTCGTCTCCTATTTTGATGACTTTTCTCTCTTTTCTGACTTTCTCCATTTTTTTTTTCATGCTTTAAAAACTATTCCGCTTTCTCTTTCCCCATTAACATCTTTTTTCCTCTTATTTTCGTAAAGTTCCCAGTCATTTAGGTAAGTCCGGTATTCATACCTATTTCTTTGTCACTGAATAGCTTCTCCATTTTTTACGATCGTTTTCTGATACAAGCCTTTCTATTATTATTTCTAACGTTCCTTTTTATACTCTTCTGATATCGTTAAATATCATTTATTTATTCATAATTTATCTGTTATCTTTATTTTTTTTGTATCACTCTCAACCGTCAGGAAAGTCGAATTTCTTTGGTTCCATTCTTTTCTTTCTTTTTTTTGTTTTTAAACTTCTTTTTGTTTCTATTTTAAATCAATCATTGCTCATCTATCGCCTCTCTTGATTTCTTATTGGTTTAATTTTGATGTCTGGTGTTTTTCTTTTAAAGTTTTTGGTTCAACGCTTCTCTTGCATTTTGACGTTTCTTTCTTTCTTTTTTTCTTTCTTGTTTGCCTTTCATTTTCATACTTTCCTTCCTCTTGCATTTCTATCTGTCTTCTGTTATTTTCTTTTTGCCGTCATTTCTTCCTTTATTTTTAGTCTTAGTTTTTCTTTTCTTTTTCTTTTTAGTTTTTCATTAATTTTTTATTTCATTTCAAATCTTTCTTTTTGCATTTCTTTCTTTCTTTCTTTTCGCTCACTTTCATTTATCTTACTTCAGCTTTCTTCTTTTTTTCTGTCATTTTTATTTTCTTTCGGAATTTTCTTGTTTTCTTTCTCTATAAAAAAATTCCTTTTCTTTTATTCTTTTAGTTACTTCATTTTTTCGTTTATTAATTAATTTTTGTGTATTTTCCTTTTTCTGTTTTTCATGTCTTTTTTCTTTTCGCCTTTCTTTATTTCCCTCTCTTTTTATAGACTTCTTTCCTTTCTTTTTGCCTTTTTTTTTCGTTCGCTTTCTTTCTTTTTTATGCTTTCTTTCATTTAAAATTTTCTTTCATTCTGCCATTTTTTCTTTCTTTTTATCCCCGTTGGTTTTTATTTCTTTCTGTTTTTTTCATTCCGTCTTATTCCTTTTTTTCTTATTTTCTTTTTTGCCTTATTCTCTTTTTCAGTTTTTAAGTTTCTTTTTTCTTTCATTTTTACTTTCCTTCTTTTCCTGTCTTTGTGTATATTTCTTTCTTTTTCTTTTCTGTCTTCCTTTTTCTTTCTTTCATTTTTTTTTTATTTTCATACGTTCTTTCTTTCATTTTTTTTCTTTCTTTTCTTTTATTCTGCCCTTTTTTCTTTTGTTCCTAAATTATTGTTTTTCTTTCTTTTTTATTTATTTTTCAAATTTGCATTTTACGTTCCTTTCTTTCTTTCTTTCTTTCACTACCCATCTTCAGTCAATCATCTTTTTCTTTCCTCCTGCTTTTTTCTTATCGTCTGCTTCCAACCCACTCTGTATCATCGTTTTATTCCATCGCCTTCTCTTACATATATCTCCCTCTCTCTTTGTTCTCTCGTTTCTTCCATTTTCCCTCTCGTGCTCGCTT